GCTAGTTTGTTTTACACTGCTTATTTCATTACGATATGGACCAACAAAATTCTATAACTATGAATCTCATCAAAGGGGCGGTGACCTAGTAGTGATAACACAAAGAGATTGGTTCCTTAATTTGTGTCCAAGATTCAAATCTTTTTTGGGTTGGAGAGTTATTTTTTAAATTAGAATATCTAAAGACTATTTTCGGGTACTGAAAAAATTATGAGCCAAAGGTTTCAAACTCCAAAAATTCATAAAAAAAAAAATTATATATGAATCTCACCAAATTGCTTTCTGAGAAGCCTAAATCATTGCCGTGACAAATGTCTTCTTGTTTTGTTCACAACTTTCTATTTACTTTTTTTTTTTGTTCACATTCCGTGACAAATGTATTAACTGTAAAAATCTTAATGTGTTAGCTGTTTTAATGTTTGGTCCCTTAGACATACTGAAGAAAATGATTAAATAAATAACATCACATGAATATTTGTTGCCATAATTTAAGAATGAAATATTCACCAAAACCACATACAAATTTAATATTTGGGAAATTCAAAGTTTTGAAGGGAACACTTCTCCGACGTTCAAAGCTAATTTTAAAGAATGCATGACTGAAAGATGGACTCTAAGCTAATTTTCTCTTTTTGACATTTAAAAGATAGTAACGCAATAGAACCGTAACAAAACTTACAATTACAAAAATATACGAGACTAGGTAAACAACATTGTTCATCGAAATGTAAAAAATAAGTATTGCTGCGATCAGTTATTTAAGTTTGACGAATGGTTACAAGATTTTTATCTAAATAATTTGAGGAGATTCGACTATATTTTTTGTTCACGTTCCATATCTTGCTTCTCTAGTTTGTTTTTTTTTTGTTTTTCCAATTAATTTTATACTGTTTATACTTGTTTTTGTTGTTGGCTAGTTTGTTTTATACAACCATGAATCTCACTAAATTGCTTTATGGGACAATAAAAACCTAAATCATTGCCGTGACAAATTTCTTCTATTTTTGTTCACAACTTTCTATTTACATTTTTTGTTTCACATTCCGTGACAAATGTATTAACTGTAAAAATCTCAATGTGTACAA